TATTGCCGTAAGGTAAGATGTATCTCAATATTTAAACGCATAAGATACACATACAAATGTACTATATAAACACATATGCATATATATCTACTATATAAACACATATGCATATATATCTACACACATGTCCTATAGTCTATACTTATTTATTCAAACAGTCGTACCACGGACAAGAACCATGCGAAATGACATCGACCGATATTATAAAGCTTATTGACGAATACAAAAACAGCAATATCAAGCAGCAGGCAATGTTGGAGAAGAAATATGGCAAGCGGCAAATGCAAACAATCCAAAAATATCTTACAACTGAGTATCTGCAAGTACGTATGTAATGTAACGATTATATGGAAATTAATGAGTAGATTAAGTAATAAGACTACAATAAGAGTATATATTATTCCTAATAATGATTATGTGTAACTTTGTTTAGGATAATGCGAAAAGGTGTCCGAAATGCCGTTCTTTCATTAGCAAAACCGAAGGTTGCAACAAAATGACGTGTAGAAATTGCCAATCTTTTTTTTGCTGGCTGTGCAACAATCAGATACACGGATACGAGCACTTCAACACCGTCGACAGTCCATGTTACGGTCTTTTATTTGAAGGTTTGGAGACGGAGAACGCTATGGATTATGAGAACGCTGTGGATAACTTTATAATGGATAATATAAATCAATACTTGGAAAATTTCAATGTCTAAATCATAAACTCCGGAAAATATGGTCTTTGAAGTAATTAGGACCTTAAACTAAAATTATACTACGTTGATCTTTGTTATTTATATTTTTTGCAAATGAGAATAGTTTAAAAAAGGAATCATTGATTGGAATTTTCGATGAATGTATAGCTATATTTTTTAAATATTTTTTCCAAGAAAATGTTAATTTTAATCAATGTTAATGGTTAACGTTACGTATATTTGTATACCTATTACAACAAAATAACATTCTTGTATCTGGTATATAGAAATCTAACAAGGATCTTGTATTACTTGTAAATATCATATTATAATAAATCTTATCATATCTTTATATATGTACATATCTTTATACATGTATCTTCGTGATTTATAATAAAACATCTGTGTAAAACGTCCTGCGTATACATACAAATATGTAATGCATGACAATAATAATAATTTATCCTAGATAATCTCAGACTTTCCATTGCTATGTTTGGATGTCAAAACTCACGTATTTCTTGGTACGTGAACTTCGATATTCGCTTCGATGACTAATTGCTCAGCAACGATAGAGACAGCAGATTCGCGTCTCTGTTGATTTGAGATAATATCTAGGAGCGATTACAAAAATAAGGTCAAAGTAGTCGCTTTCTTAGGCTAACATGAAGTTGCGTTACCTTCGCAATTCTTATCACATTCCACAATTGCTTGTTTGCGGTGAAAACGTTGCATGTTTAATTGTACGAGAGTAGGACCGAATATGCAGTATCCAAAGAACGCTCCGATTATGAGGGCGATGGTGATATATGCATTGTACGTCATAACAGTCATCATCAGGATATAACCAAGCGTAGTGTGAAGAGACCAGTGCAACATTTGCAATGTCCATCTCGAGCAGCTTCCACTAAAGGAACATATTTAACATCGAATTAAGATAAAAACGCTTAGCTGCCGCAGGAAGATAAATGTATATTATTTAAAATAATAACTAAAATTGTAAGTAGTAAAATGCCAATGTAATATGACTAATTTATTTCTCGTTATTATGAAAAATGCTATTATTGTTACAGGTATATATTGTATTTTGCCTATACAAGATACGAACTCTAGAATAATTATGAAATCGAGTTTTTGTCTTATATTATACTGTCTGCATTTCAGTATACAAAATAGAAAAAAATAATTAGACGTTGAAGAGAGAAACGAGAAAAAATGAAGTATACAAAGTTTAGCTACAAAAAATAAATCTAATATTATACATAAATTTTAAACGACTTGGGACGTGACTTTGATCAAACTCCAATTAATCGGCGATTGATTGAATCAACGGAAAGTACCTAAAGCAGAATCTCTACAATACATAATTTGTTGTCCCTTTTCTTCCACATGCTAAACAAAAAACTTGCAATTCTATTTACGTTAACAAAATAGTAACAGATATTACTTGATATGTTGAAGACCCCAATTAAGTTAATTACTCGAAGTCACTTGGAGTGTTTGAATAAACACATTTGGCTTATCGCTCTTCAAGGAGAGATAAGGAGACAACAACGTACCATCTTGTGTGAGTTCCAAAGTTCTTCGGTGTCACTCTGGACAGGAGGGACGAACTCTCCGAGGCGGCTGACGTTGTCCTAGGTATGGGCCTAATCGCAGCCTGCTGCAGGTGGATCTGCGAGACCTTCATGGCCTCGTATAGCACTGCGAGGGCGGCCAAGCCCAGGCACGTTGCCACCAGGCCCCAAACCGTGGTAACGTTGTATCCTGAAAATAGGAAGCTGCCCAGATCCACGCCGAACCAGTATGACATATGCATCTGCAATAAGAGTGTTTATTGTTAGAGTATGCAAGGCACATGAAGAAAACGTCAAGAATTATTTTAAGGTTACACCGACCTTGATTACCTCAATTTCTTCTGGTGCGCCCTCGACTCGCGAGAAACACTCATGACTGATAAGCCGCGCGTATACAAACGCCTACACATTCTATCTGCCACCTACTACCTAGTCTAACCCTTCCTTAGCTTGTTTACAATTTATGTCCACTTATGTCCACTTATGCGTAACAACTCAGGCACGTGCACTGACATAAAACTGCGGGCACTGCGGCGTGCAATCCTCGTTACGGTTACTAGTTCAACACTGAATGACACTGAACTTCAGTTTAATCGGACTCAGGCACTAGAAGAGCGTTTCTTTCCGAAAAATCAATCTTCTGACTTCTGACCCTTACGTGTCCCCCTCCCCCTCCTCGGTTTGCGAGGAAGCACAAGGTCGAGAAGCGACATGCGGAATAACGAGCGAGCCTGATTGGCGCCCATCTGCAGGTTCGACGAATCCTGGGGCGACGATGTCGAAACCGGCTTTTTTCGCACAGTTCAATAATGAACAGCTGATCAGCGATCGGACGTGGCGATGGACGGAACGGATTGTCGAGTGACAATTGAACAGGTGGTGGTTAATTAGAAAGCGTCGAAACGCCGAAAAATTCCGCCCCTGCTAAGACGGAATTAGCACCGACAGGAACGTATATAGACCTTCTGTTTCCCATCAGAACTTCGAACGCTGTTCGACAAAAATGGAACTGTCAACATATCTCACGTTTCTCGCCTGCGTCTCGTTCATCGCGAGTGCAAATGCAAGTATATTAGGTATTTATTTCAGATACTTTTTATTCTTGTATTAAATTGATATTTAAGAATTTCGAACTGTTGCCCCTTACTCGCCTTCTTTTTTTTTTCATTCAAAATTGAATGCACGAAAAAGTCTTAATTAGAAATGTTTTCCAGAGTCCAACAAGCTGGCGATAGTAATACTGAGCCAAAAGGAAGGCTACAATGCAGCCCATGCTGATTATTTGAGGAAAAACATCTATGAGCAGGATGACGCTCTTGAAGGAGTACGTTTGATTATGATAAAATTGTTCCTGTGTATTTTTGTTGAGTCTTCAGTAAATATTGGCTAGGTTTACACCCTGAATTTAGGCCGCGGCCTATACCTCAAATTCGACCAAAATTATTTAGGCCGCCTGCTGTAGCTGTATAGACATTTGATAGGCGGCCGAAACTAGCTTCAGGTCAGACTTTAGGTTGAATTTGAGATATAGGCCGCGGCCTAAATGTCCCGGTGTACCCGTGCCCATATATAGGCGACTACGTCTTGTACTTATTGCTAAATAAGGTATCTCTATATTTTAGGAATTGCCACACGTCGTATTGTCCCATGAACTTGACATCAAAGGTTCCTGGACAATAGTTCCGCTGTTGACTCATTTGTCGAATGAATTTCCAGATGTGGAATGGTTCTTCTTTTGTTTGGAAAATACTGTGATTCGATTAGAGAAGCTGTTGAATGTTCTTGGAAAATTTAGCTCGTCTGAGGTGAATTGTGTTCTCGCCGCAAAACATTTTAGGAAAGAACGATTTGTATTCTAGATAATTTGTTTGCGCAGAATGTATGGATTGGACACATGCTTTATGATCGTGAACCTACTATTATTCATCACTTTGCGCGGCACACTAAGAGATTTAGGTATCCACACATGGCATCTGGATTTGCCATGAGCGCTACGCTATTAAAGAGGTATAATATTCTATTTTTATATTAAATGATCATTATTATAGAGTCATACAAATTTCGGAAGAGTAACAACGGAAGACATTAAAATAGGCGATAGATAAAATTAAAAGCTCAACAAAATTGGCATCTAATTTTTAAAACATATATAGTTACGATCTGTTTCTGTTCTTATCTTTGTCCAAAAATTAAAAATATAACTTAACATTTTTAGTTTATCTAAACGAGTCTCTGAGGGCAAGGAACCGAAGGCAGATTTTTCTATCGACGTATCATACGAATTCGCGACCTTTGTCTTAAATAGCACTGGCGCAAAGTTGACTCATGTGTCTAAACTGTGCATTGTGTCCGCCTCCGATTGCGCCACGTATCCCCGATTCTTCCATTCTTGCGTATGTTACACGATATGACTTTCTAATTAATAACAACAATAATTTTAATAAGTTTAAAAGAGAACAATATATTTTATTGTTGAACCACGTTGATATAAATACTCTCGATTTGCAGAGTTCTTCTGTAGCTCCAGAAAACATTTATTTCGCTGTTAAGACTTGCGCCAAATTTCATTTAGACAGAATCCCAGTAGTTAAAAAGTCATGGGCCAAGTACGATTTGAACATTGGATATTTCAGTGATGCAGCCGGTATGCCTCATCAATGAAATTACGTATATTTTGAATAATTTACAGTCTTCGTAAGTTGCTGAATTGTTCTACTATCTAGACAAAAATTTACGGGAGGCATACATCGTCCCGAATACTACTAAAGGACACTGTGCTAAAACTTATGCTATCTTGCAAGAAGCCAGCAAAATACTTAAAAAACGTAATTTTGATTGGCTTGCCATTGTCGACGATGACACTATATTCAGGTAAATGTAATTATATTTAAAAAAAATCTTATTTTTAAGTTGAAAAAATTATGCACAGCATTACAAAGCCGTGAAAAGCTTATAATCTTTATTTTCAAGATATTGAAAAATTGAAGTGTACTTTAATTTATTACAGTGTAGTACGTTTATTAAACTTGCTCACGTGCTACAATCCTAAGCACGCAGTCGCGATCGGCGAACGTTACGGATTTCGTATGTGGGACAGTCACTATGGCTATCAATACTTAACTGGCGGTGCGGGAGTCGTGTTATCAGCTCCCTTGGTTCATCTGATGGTAGAACCGGGCGCGTGCACTTGCCCATCTGCGACTACTCCCGATGACATGTATCTCTTTGGACTTTGTTTATTGCGACTTGGAGTAGAAGGCGTGCATTCTTCGATGTTTCATCAGGTATACGTAATAGATTTTTTGTCGTAATAAACTCACACATACAAATGTATGAAATATTGAAATATATATGAGACTTATAATTTAAAAAAATGATATAATTTTTCAGTACTGTTTGCTCTGATATATTCTAATGATTATTACTTTAATATGATGATATTAAACCATTTTGTATTTCGTAACTGTTGTAGGCACAACCTGTGGATTATCCTAATGCTTATTTGGCATCTCAAGAACCTATATCATTTCACAGATTCTGGTCAGTTGATCCTAAAGCTGTATACAATGATTGGTTTGCAGAAGTAGACAAAGTCTTACCACTTGCAGAAGCATCAAAACATACAGAATTATAAATATATGTGAAACAAAAATTTTATAGAAATTTGCAATAAAAATGTTTCTTATTTTTGTATTTAAAATCAGATTATTTCTTCAAAACATCTCACATATTGTTTTTACCTAAAATATTATAAGAGTGATTAAGGGTGTTTAGAGTGTTCAAAAATGTTTAAATTTTTTTACAATTTTTTAATATAGGTGTATAACAAAATATAAATGATTTTATATACATTAGTAAAACATGAACAAGATGTAAAAACCCTTAACAATATAACAATATATGAATAAAAACTATATTCAGTTTATATATCAAAAAATTAACAATATGATATTAAACCATCAATTATCACATTAGAAGTGTAACAATAATTGATGTCGAGGCACTCATTTTTACAGCATATAAAACATTATTTCAGTTTTTAAATATCAATATGTGCACAATTCTGGACGAACAACATAAATTTGTACATTTGTTTCAAGTTATTATGGATTTTGAAGATATTATTTTAAAGTCTTTAAATGTAAAAAAGTAGGAATAACACACTCGTATCCGTAAACCTCATGCCTCTAATATTACAATTTAGATCGGATTTCATTCCACCACGATGGTCGTTCCAAGTTCTCTTTATCTTTAAATATCCATTCTTTTATGTGCTTATATACCTAGTACAAAAAAGCATTTTCAATTTACATATTGAGAAAATATAATTATTACATATATAAATAATTTGATATAAATATATAGTGGCAGCAGTATATACCTCGCCATCAGACATTCCTAGAGCAGAATTAAGAACAAAATCTGGCGGTGCCAATACGTCAACTAGCGCAACAGCATCGTCGACTAAGTCTCTGCACAGCGTTATAATTCCTTTTCGCAAAAGACCGTCCATATTACTGTTAGAAGAGGCATAACCACCACCGTACAAATCTCCCAATCTCTTCTCCAATGTTATAGCTCCGAATAGAGAACACAGTTTTGTCAATACCTCTCTTTCGTTTTCTTTCCATTTTGGATCTTGTAAAAATTTAACAAAGTACAGCATTACGGCGTGCTGTAAGAAGAAATTAACTGTATTAATTCCATTCTATGGTAATGTTGTAAAATATATGCAAATTGATGCAAAGTATATTTATTGCATAAAAGATGCACGTGTATTTTTCATTAATAGTCTAGAATTTAAAGTTTAAATTTTA